CCCGCCCCCCCGTGGATTTTGTGGGCAATGCTGGAATCCATTAAATCGTGAATTTGGTAGGTCCCTAAATATAGTAGAACTAGAAGAGTTACAGAGAACTGCAAGAAGGTCTGAAGATGGGCACTTATTTCTGAAAGCTTGTCTGACCTCTCTCCCGGCTGTACAGTTACTACACTCAGTTGGTACTTACTTTCCCACGTTGCTTCCTGCACTATCATGTCTACAACAGCACTCCAACAATACTGCCTTTATGAAAATAAGCATTTATTTGGCCATATCCCGTGCTTGACAATTACCAACAGCCAAGAGAATCTGAAACAAATGACATAACTCTGTGGCAGAGGTAATATAAAGAGCTATCACTCTCAAAGGGGCAGATTTCTGTAGACAGTTTTTCCTTTGCCTACAGATACTTCAGAGCAATAGTCTTATTTGGCTCATGCTTCCATGGAAAAATGTTAATGTTAACATCGGCTGTGACAAAGGCAGGATAATTTTCAAACTGAATGGACAAAATAACAAGGGGTTGCTTTAAAATACTGGTGAAGATATTTTTTTCTGTTTAACCTCTCATTTTTCCTATCTTAAGGTTTCTGTGGGTAAATTGCATCGTAACAGAGCCTCAACTGTCTCTAAAGCAGAGTTTATTTTTTCAGTTCTATATTAATAAACATTATTGAAAAAAAATTGAGATTTGTATGCTTCTTTGTAACCTGGCTTCCAGGGTTGCCGTGTAGATGAATGGATTGTGCAAACTACTGTGGCTTTCTGTAAGTAGTACTCAGGCCTGTTTATGCTGAGTATCAGCCAAACAAATTTAGACTATCGTAATGGGGATTCTAGGCCAGCAATTAAACTTAAAAAAAAAAAAAAAAAAAAAAAAAAAAAATTGAACAAACTCTGTGGTATATATTTCTGCTTTATGTGTTTCTAACCATTTTCTTATTTGCCGTCAGGAGATGGGGTTCCAAGGGAAAGTAGTCCATTTATTACCAATGCTGACATGGACAAAGGGATTATCTATGAAGGAAAAAACATGGCTCTCTTTGAGGTAATTTTTGATGTTTTGTAGTGCATCATTCTCGACCCCTAACTTGCAGTGAGAATAAGCAAAACTAATGTTTCTTTCTGTTCACTAAAAACTTGGTGCACAAGAAGTAAACATTGTCAGTTTCTTTTAGTAGTTTCATTTTGGATTTTGTTCAAATGTTTTAAAAGTTTGATCAAATTCACTTTCAAAATGTTAGTTTCAACTGGAAACTCGTTTAAAGGGTACATTGCATATTAATAAGCATCACTGAACAAAAAAATCCAGAGCTCCAGCTAAAATGAGTATGGATTCATGGGCCCAGTCCATATGAGCAGGGGCGTGTGTTTTGCAGCAGCACAAATAGTGGTGGCACAAATTTTATGCCACTACTTTGTGCAGCCCCTGCCCAGGCACTTTGCAGTGGGACAGTGTCCTGCTGTTCCATGTGTTGGGGGGAAGGGGGGCTAGGGCACAAGGTGCCTCAGCGCAGGCTAGCTGGCAGGGGAGTGGCACCTGGAGATGGGGGAGCAGGCAGGCCTGCTCCCCATCTTTGTGCACTGCTGATCCCCTGAGCTGAGGCACTCTGCACCCCAACCAATTGCTCCCTGGCTGGCTTGGATGCAGTGTGCTTCGAAATGGGGAGCAGCCAGCTGCTGTGCAACATTGTACAAAACTACATACTAAAAAATGTCAGTTTGCTAAAATTTTTTGGCACTACGTACCAGATAAAAATGAATCAAGGCTCCGCGTGTCAATATTTGAAAAGGCCACTTAACACTTTTCAAAACATTAGAGATGTTAATATTTACTAGTAGTGCATGTAAATATTATACTGTTTTAAAATCCAAACAGGAAGAAATGGATAGCAACCCCATGGTATCATCTCTGCTTAATAAACTAGCAAACTATACCAATCTGACTCAAGGTGTAATTGAACATGAAGCAGATGAAGACATCAAAAGAAGAGAAATCAAGGTATTGAAACTTTTGATCAGTGTTACTACATACAGTTTTAATTGGTGAGCAGCATATTATGTAAAAAGTGAGCATGCTTTGTGCCTTGAAACATCTGTCATCTAAAAGACTCTTTTGCCTTCTAGGGAGATGCTCAGAGGATACTTTAGCCTTTATTGACCTCCTTGCTGCCACACTACATTGCTACCACCAGCAGCACCCAAGCTGGCTAATCTAAAGCTAGCTCAAGTATGCAGAGAGTGTGAATACACATATTTGGAGCAGTTTCAAAAGGGTAGCAGCTGTTGAGTGGGGACAGTCTGAGGACAATACAAATGTTGCAAAACCTTTCCAACTTTAACCCTGGATGAAGCAGTGTTTTTCTTCTGCTCCTTGAGTTTTTATAGCTTTATTTCTGGTACTGCTAGTGACCTGACCTTTATTCCAGGCAGAATTGTACATTGGCTGATGTGGGACTCCCTTATTAAAGAGTAGTGTAATTAATGCTGATCAAAATGAGTTTATGGAAAATATATTTGTCAGACTAACTTGATATTGTTTTAGCGATGACAAGTTTGGTTGATTAAACACAATAATGATCGTGTAACATGCTAAAATTTCGAAAGACATTTAGGTTAATAGCACATAGCATTTTGATGAGAAACTAGACATTAATATGATAAACATGAAATTGATTACCTCAGGGTTGTCTTCTGACCTGTGCTATGTAGGAAATTAGATTAGGTGAATACAGCAGTTCATTTGGTCTTGGGTAAATTTAATATAAATTTGTCAAAGATCAAAATGAGAAGGCTTAAAAAAAACTTGTTTTGCTCCATCAATTATTTCTCAGAAAAGCTAGTTCTAGAATTACAAGTTCAGAATCTTTAAAGAGCTGGAGGTAGCAAAAATGTGCCTGATCTTTCTTATTTTTGGTAACAAACTGAGGTACCGATAGAGATTGGAGTGTCATAAAATGACGTGCTCAGATTATTTTTAAAAGGCAGCAAGTCAGTCAGATTGGTCGGTATTCCCCTACTAAGAGTTCAGATGAAACTAAATTAAGTGACTAAACTGCTAGCAGAGTTTCTGCAAAACTGCTACCAGACCAGCAGGTTAGAGTGTAGTGAGTGCTGTACTTGTATTTCCAAAAGGCACTGGGGATGATCAGGGGAATTTCGGGCGAGCAAACCTTGTATCGATACCTCGTAAATCGTATTGAAGTACAGAATGCTAAAACATGTGGAAGGTCTTGATCTGAGTTCATCTTTTATTGACTATAAGTAATCAGAACTGTACATTTTATTCTAGATGAAGACTCACTGGTGCCTTCTAAACTGGCATGAAATGTCACTGATGTTTATATCTAGGTACTAGGGGGGTGTGAAGTGAGCCGCATTTGATTTTGGATTCAGCCTGAATCGGGGACAGTGATTCGATTCGTTGATTTGGATCACTGTCCCCGATTCGATTTGGCTGAATCTGAAGATTTGATGCTGATTCAGAGGATCAGCAATTCAGACGGACACAGCTTTAAATGTTTTTTTTCTACATACCTCAAGGTACCAGGTGCAGCTCATGAATGCTGTGATGCTGGGGAGGATGGAACGTCCCACAAGAGTGCAGGGGGGCCCCTGGATACTTGGCAGTGAACCTGGAAGTGGGCTGGAAGTGCTTCTGGTCCACTTCTAGGTCTGCTGCCAAGTGTGTTGGGGAGCCCCCTGCACTCCTGTGGGACGTTCCGTCCGCCCCAGCATCACAGCATTCACGAGCCACCTGGTACCTTGAGGTATGTAGAAAAAACATTTAAAGCTGTCTGTCTGAATCTTTCCGAATTGATTTTGGATTTGGAGATTTGGCCACCAAATCAGGCCAGATCTCCACCGAATCGAATTGGGGACCGAAGCTTCGCATGGCCATAATAGTTACTATTCTACTTGTTAATGTTAAGGTGAGCTGTTTTAGCCTGTGTAGTTGTGGAAATGAGAACTTTTTTTTCCACATGTAAGCACTGGAGTGGTATCTCAATGTGTCTTCAAAGAGATGGATAGTTGTTAATAGTGACTATATCTGCATGGGACATTAGCACTAATATTGCATCTTAACAGTGGCTATAATTTAAAAAATAAAGATTCAAAAACCTCAGTGGGACACTGTTCAGTCCATTTTGAGAACCAAATGCCTGCCTCAGGAGTACAAATAGAAAAAACCTCAAGTTAGCTTCTTGCGACTATTTTTTAAAAAATCCTGGCCAGTGTAATTATTAGTGCCAACTGTTTTGTGGTCCAGTACTCTTGCAAACATGTCCAGATAAGTTATAGGAAACAGAATGTTGACAGGGGCCTGAATAGAGAACTGTAATTTCTTATTTTATTTCTTTCTTTTTGACTCAAAGCAACACAAAGAAAACATTAATAAACAAGTCAGGCTGGGCCAGACCTGTAGCCAATCTGGTCCTATATCTAGTTTTTGCCTGTGGCCAGCACCAGCACTAGGTGTTTCAGAGGAAAGTGGAAATGTAGCCAAGTATCAGAAGATGGGTCTACATAAGCCCTGATACTTCAAGCTTTCTATCCTTTTCTCTTTTTGCATTCTCATCTGTAAACTTATAAAACCTAAAGATTCTGAGATTCTTCACTCAGGTTTTTTGTTCAACCCTTATTCAGGGAACATGTATGAGCTGTAAGTTTTTTCTGAATGAGGGTTTTGGGGTATACTTAACCTTTTACTTGGGAAGGAATCATCTCTGGAATTTGTATCATTTGTTGTTCTCAGGCTCCACGTATGGGCACTTTCATTGGTGTGTACTTGCCCTGCCTACAAAACATTTTAGGAGTTATCCTTTTCCTGCGTTTGACTTGGATTGTTGGAACAGCTGGGGTCCTTGAATCTTTCATCATCGTGTTCATGTGCTGTGCTTGTGTAAGTTGATCTTCATGCTCTTCTCTTTTTAGCATTGGTGAAATTGTGTTCTCTACCACCTCTGCACTATTCCTCTTCGCAACTATTTGCCTAAGCAGCAGGGCGAGATCTCAGAGGGTTCAAGTAGCAGTAAAAGTGCATCTACAATGTGGTACTTGTTAATCTTGCCTTGATTGATAGGACACGGTAGCTTTGTCTGTTTATCATACCTGAACTAGCTTCACAAAGCTCAAGTCTGAGGGCCTTGTCACATGCAACACTTAACACGTTTTATTTAGATCATAGTAAGCTTAGCTGCAAGTTAGAACTTGTTCTGAGCAGTCGCACAGTAGTGCTTGCTACCATCTGGAGAGGCTGGAGTCAGTTGTACAGTTGATGACCAGCTGTTCATTGGTTCCAGCCCCCACACTGCACCAGAGCTGGTGAGGACTGTGTGTATTGCTTTTGTGGAACAATTTCATGACGCTTGCTACAAAACAATGGCACTTAGCATGTGTTTTACTGCTTGAAAGCGTGGATGCTGACCTTTTAAGTGCAATTGAACATTACACCTAGGATGTGGCAAGGCCCTGAAATGCTGATGTAGTTTTGCACTTTTTTCACTTAGTTACTAAAACTAAGTTTAAGTGTCCAAATTTAAAATTACTACATCATAGTCCAATACACAAGATGCATATTAGAAAATGACAGAGTATTTCTCAGAACTTTACAGCAAATGTCAAAATGTCATCGTTATTAGCAATATTTGGCTTGATCTATAAATTAATAAATTTAGCTATTGTGCTGTATGAAACCCCTAGTGAAAAGTTGCACAGTGATTCTTAATAACAAGTGATCAACTAGGGTTTAATTAAGAGATTTTTTTGTTGTTATTTTGTTGAAAAGTGCAAGTCTTCCTTCCTCTCTAACTACCAATCTTATGTTCAAAAGCTGTCATGATATGACTTTAAATATAGATGTACTAATTTAGGTAGTCACTGTAAGGTCTACTGCTCAAGTGGCTTAGGAATTAATCAAGTTAATGGCAGCAGAGGAGATGATGCATAGAATGTCATTTGTTTCTGCAAACATTTTTGTACAAAGCTTTTTATGGGTTCTAGTTTCTTTTCACTAGACCAGGAGGGTTGTGCATCCTTTTAAGATCTAGGGTTTTTTTTTCCTTTAAAAAACAAACTGTAAAGATATTTTAAATTTGACTTTGTCCATTTTATGCCTTCCTTCCACAGACTATGCTAACAGCAATTTCAATGAGTGCAATAGCAACAAATGGTGTAGTCCCAGGTAAATCTCACTTTGTTTTTTTTAAAATTCTGAATGTGAAACCTTAAGGGATGATGCATACTTTCTATATTGCATAGACAGCGTATGTAAATTGTATAACCAAGTGAAAGTTGAGATGGTAAAACAAAATTGTGGACCATCATCCAGTAATGCTAACATCAAGTCCCAAACTTCTGTTTGAACTATGTATCTTTTTCAGGAATGCGCTCATCCAAAATGCTTGTAGAAATTGTCCTGCCTGCTGCTTTTTTATTATGGCCAGTTTTTCTTCAGCTTTGTTTACTGGCATTACTTTGTGTCCTCAGCCAAGAAAACATGAAGTTCTCCATTCCCAATATCAAGTGATCTCCATTACTATGGTGCACTGTCTTTAGTAGGCAGTTTTAATGTCCTTTTTGCACACAAAGTATGTCAATCTATTCCCCAGATGCCTTAAGCGTTTGTGTGGGAAGGTGGGCCTTTGCTGCTCTGTTACTGAACGTACACCAAGATCCACCCCTACATCCAAGCATAAATGCTTATACCTCCAGCGAGTTGCGTATTTTTTTTTTTTTCCCACACTTGAGCACTGAAAAATATATCATCTCTTCCTGGCTTTATTAATTTGTCTTTGATCTAGCCCCACTCTCAGTATTTCAGTTTACCTGCTACCACCATATGACATACTGAGGTTGAGCAAACAACTGGGTAGCTAGTGCTCTATAGCCCATGTTGACTCTTGACATTCTGGTACATTTGCACTGGTGTATTCAGTGATGATATCATTCTTCCCTGACCACTTGATTAGCGTCTTTAAAATTCCAAAAATCTAGATTTAACTGGAGCTATGGGCATAACACTACTAACCTGATCTTTCAGTAGAAATAGGAATAATTGGTGCAACACCAAAATACAGATACATTTGAGATGAGCCTTTTCAATGCGCCTGACTTTAATAAAAATCAGAATTGAATTCCTTTGGTATTAGCTTTATTTTAGAATGCATAAGTTACAGAATTTTTATAAGCTTCAATAAAGGCTGAACTTTGAAGTCTACTGACACAAAATCAAGTGAAATCACTTTGTAAACAAGATCTTGGTTGAATGATATTTTTTTCCACTGGATGTTGCTATTTCCATTTTCTTTCTTCTGTTTTGAAAAAGGTAGATACTCATGATGCCAGCAGATTAACTTTAAATGTTCAAAACTGAAAGAATATCAATGTTCCAATTTATTTTTCACCATTTCTGACATCAGTTTATTTTTATTAACTTATGTTTATCAGTTTGGATTTTATACTTGCCTTTATGTAACTTGTTTTACTATCTAACTTTGATATGTGAATATAATTTTGCAAAGTTAGGGCTGTTAGGAATCCTACTTCTTTAATGATTTTGTTTGTTGAAATGCCTCATTTAAAAGTCATTTTCCCCCTCTCCATTTTGAGCATATATTGTAGTGATCAAATCAGCCAATTCCAGCTTGGATCATAAAATTTAGGTTTCTAGTAAACGCCACCCCTTCTCATACTACCTAACATTTTATACATAAATAACGACCAAAGGGATGTGTTTCAGAATCTGATTTGTTAATGTTGACTCTTACAGCTGGTGGTTCATACTACATGATTTCAAGATCTTTAGGGCCAGAGTTTGGCGGAGCAGTGGGTCTCTGTTTTTACTTGGGTACAACCTTTGCAGGAGCTATGTATATTCTTGGTACCATTGAAATTTTGTTGGTAAGTACTAGTTATATCCCTTTAATACAAATATATTTGACCAGATTTTGGAAGTTTTAGGGTAGATATCCTCAAGCTAGTCAGTGTTACTTTTCCAAATAGTTATTGAATATTTTATTTTTGGAGCTGCTCTAATTTTCCTTCAAGAATGAGGAATCTGTTAAGGATTTATCTGTAGCATATATAAATAAAAATAATATTGGCAGACAGGTTGCTCTGTTCTATATTAATGACACTTTGTTCAAATGCTGATAAGCCAGGGAAGTAAACAATTAAGGTGATCAGCTACACTTCTCTTTCACTTGCACTAAAAACTTGTTGGCCTATTGCTACAACAACTTTTAAGTTCTTAGCATGAAATGCTTCAAAAACTGCAATGAAGTCTTAACTCTGGCATTCTTATAAGGAGGATGTTTGCTAAACACATAACTTCATCTTTTAATGTGGGTGTGGTGGTTTGTTTGTTTGGATTTCTTGGGGGGGGGGGAAGACAAGAGTCTCTTAACTGTGTGTCCTCCTTGTGTTAATGCCAGAGTTAAGGGTTTGTGGTAATTAATAAATCTTTTGGCATTAATAATGTTGTGGAAAGAATATAGTAATTGGTAAGTCTATTATTCTACTTACAGCAGTAGAAAGTGCGATGGATGACCTTACTTGTTTAGGGATGCTTCTTTTAAACCAATAATATTGGATGCCGGGGAGGGTATGGCAGGGAATTGATCATTCTAAATCAATGATTCTCAACATTTTTTAGACTCGAGATACCCCATGATAAATTCAAGGCATCCTGTCATAGGCTTGGGGTGTTCCTCAGATTGTCAGCTCTTAGTCTTCATACTTTTTTACTACAGAAAAATAATAGAACAATAGTAATAGCTGCAGCACCCTGATTGGAAATCACTGCTCTAGATATATCCAGTTCATATGTTCTACTTCTAAAGCACCCACTACTGCTGCTGCTGTCTTTGGAAACAGGATACTGGGCTTGATAGGCCAGTGGTCTGACCCATTATGGCACTTTTATTTTCTTATTTCCTGGTTTGCCAAGCTTTGAGGAAAATGTTAGAGTAGAACACTTGGAGCTTAACTATCATTTTTCCTGTGCAAATTTCCCTAGATGTTTGTTGTTTTTTTTTTTAACAAAAACACTTCTGTACATTGAGGATGAAAATGGAATAACCATATCTTAGGGGAAAAAACATAGAAAACATGGTGGTTAATAGTCCGTCTTACTTCAGAAGTATGTTGATGTTAGATTAAACAGGACCATCACAACTTGGAATATCTGCTGTCATGTAAGAGACAGAACACTATATGGCAAAACTTGTAGTTAGAAACATGCTTTAAAGTTGTTAGCTATCAGTGCTATCATATACTGTGAATGCATAGCTCTTACACTAGCACCCCTCAAATTATAGGATCATATAGAAGTAGAACTAGAAGGGACCTTGGGATCTAGTCCAAACCCCAGACCAAAGCAGGATCATCCCTATCCAAACCATCTTATAAAAATCCATTGTCTAACCTCTTAGCAAAACTACACAGTCAAACCTGCCACAATAGAAAACATAACACCCTAATCTGCCACAGGTAAAGCAGGGAGGCCCCAGCAGCCATTGGGCACATTCTGCTGCTGCAAGGGTTGTTAAAATACATGAGAAACTCCCAGACAGAGGGCAGCTGTCCCCACTATAAAGGAAGGTAAAATTGCCCACACTCCATACTTATCTGAGCAGGGGGTAAAATTAATTTTTGACCCCAAATATGGTGATCAGTTGGACCCTGAGTTGGAGGGTCAAGACCCTGTAGTTGGGAACCTTTGGGTTTAAGTCCTAGCTGGAGAACTGGCACACGCCAGTCAAAATCCCCAGCATTGGCTGTAGCCAACACCTAGTGCCTCTGAGGAAGAATAAAAAATGCTTGACATGTAGCAGCAGGAGGGAAAAAAATTTGCTCCCAGACCCATGTGACACCCAACGAAGCCCAGAAGTATGGGTAATACCCATAGGAGAGCGTAGGCATAGCTGTATGTAGATTAAGCCTAACCAGTGGCTGTCCAACCTCTTCTTGAACACCTCCAGTGATGGACAGTCCACAGCTTCCTTAGGAGGTCTGTTCCACTGCCTCACTGTTGTAACAGTGAAGATACTTTTCCTGATATGCAGTCTAACTTACTGTATTGGAACTTCATGCCATTGGTCCATGTCCTATTTTCAGCAGCAAGAGAGAAGAGGTGTTTTCTCTCTTCTTTCTGGGAGCCTTTCAAGTATTTGAAGACTGCTTATTATATTCCCCCATATGCACCTTTTCTACAAGCTGAACGTGTCTATATCTTTCAACCTTTCCTTCCAAGCCCTTTATCGTCTTTGTTTCCTGTTTCTGGACCATCTCTAACTTCTCTATGTCCTTTTTTTTTTTTTTTAAATGTGGAGCCCAAAGCTGCACACACTACTCTAGACAAGGCCTAACCAGGGCCTAGTAGTGGCACTATCACTTCCTGTGTCTTTCACCTAATGCTTCCATTGATCATTGATGCATCCCACCTTTTCACCTTTTGTGCAGCTGAATTGCAGTGTAGACTCACCGGGCACATACAGACAAGTGTACACATGCGGGGATGCAGGCTTTCTGTGGAACAAACAGCAACAATGCACATTTGTGCTGCTGCTTTTTGCCCCAGGGCATGCCCCTGCGTGTGTGCTCCAGAGCCTGGCAAATTGGCCCGGGGTAGATAGGGGAGCCTGGGGCCTTACCTGGGGTTCTGGGGGCATCCCAGGGCAGCAGCAGCACTGGTCTAGCTGCATGGAGCTTGGCCAGCCAGGATCCATTTCTGGCAGTGCACACTGCTGCCATGTTTGTGTGGGTTTTTTTTGACACTAGCTCTCCCAGTGTCAAATTTTGGCACCGTGCTACAAATAAGCAGCACAGTGAATGGGTGCACATGCGCCATGCGTGGTCTGCGGTGCCTCTAACAGCTTTTGAGGAGCCATAAATTGCATGTGTGCTTGTTTGGATGTGCCCATTGAATCTGATTTTTTTTTTTTTTTTTTTTTTTTTTTTTTTTTTTTAACCAAGATTCTCAGATTTGTTCCCAATAGTTCTGCCATCCTGCCAGGTGTCACCAAATTTTAATTTGTATTTCTGATTATTCTTCCTGAGATATGTAGCACCTTGTATTTGTCAGCATTTGATCTTCATTCTCTTAGCTCCAGCCCAGCTTCATCATCTGTTGATCCTTCTGAATTGTGCTGCTGTCCTCCAGCATATTCCCAGTCCTTCCCAGTTTTGTCTTCTGCAACCTTGCTTTCAGTTCAGCATCCAAATCATTAATAAACATGTTGAACAGCAATGGGCCCAGGACAGACCCCTGCAGGATTCTACTCAAAAAGTCTTGTCATTCTGACATGGATCCCAGTATAGACTGGATCCCAGTAGTCTTTCGTACCCAAGTTCAGGGGGGGTTGGACCTGATGATCTGTAAGGTCCCTTCCAGCCCCCAAACATCTATAATTCCACTTCGCTTGCTTCTGTTGATCCTACTACCTTTTTATAGTAGTTTTGTCTAGCCCACATTTCTCCAGTTTGTTTGAGAAGGTCATATGGGATCTTATATCTGGACTTCAGCAAGGTTTTTAACACTATCTACAGCATTCTTGTCATCCACCCAGGTAATTGTTTGGTCAAAGAAGATCAAGCTTTGGGTTTTTGTTTCTTTGGGTTTTTTGTTTGTTTTCTATATGATTTGTTCAGATGGAACAAAGCATTTTTTTCATTCAAAATTTCAAAATGAAAAAGATCAAAGCCATTTTTGTAGAGAGATGTCTATACTTTGGAAGCTTTAATATACAGACCCAGGAGTATGTTCTGAAAATGGTTTTAATGTTGAGAAACTAGGACTTTCTTGCCCCCATCTTTTATTTTTAGCTCCTTAATATTCTAAAATCTATTATTCCCTTACAGCTTTCTAATGTACAGAAAGTTAAAAGCATGGCTGTCACTTCAATTATGTTTGGGGACCTCTTTTCCTCCGCTAAAATATTTAGCAGACCTTCCTGTTCTTTCTCCTGCTGCACACAGTTCTCTAGTAAAGCTTTTACTCTGACTTTGCAGACACTCCACCATCATATCATGTTACCATTCTGCCATGTGGTTGCAGAGTTTCAGGGCCTCTTAGATCAGTTTCACATTTGGATCCATTGAATCCAGACATGCCCACCTAATTGAGTGTATTTTTTTTTAATGGAAATTGTAGTGTTGAAGCAGAACTAGTAAGACTGCACAGACAGCAGGCCAGACGTAAATTTCCTGGAATTATTGCACAATCTCCCAGCAAAACCTGCTTAGTAACACATCTGTTTAATATATAACCCTTGCTTCAGACCCAACACCTAGAATATCCTGGGTTGGGAAAGGGTACTTGGTATTAGCCTTTCTTTTTGTGCATCTGCTCTGAAACCCAAAAGGAGTCTCAAAGGCGAGCTTTCATGACTGGCATGACGAGCTGTATTCTCTTGGTGAAATGTAGGCACCACTGAAGTGCATGGGAATTTTGCCACTGAATCTGGTGGGGTCAAATTTTCACTTTTCATCCCCTTAACAAGTCTCTGAATGTGTTCTTTAAAGCCCAATAGCAACTTATTCCAGTGCTGCTACAGTGTTCTGTATCCACAGGCACAGGGGTGTGACACTTTGTCAGATGCAGTCTCTGGAACTGGTGCATCCATCACCAGACACTCATCAGCTGTGCATCCACAGCCCTCAGGAAACAATTAACAGTAAATGCATCTCCCTCAGCCACAAATCAAGAACTCTGTCCTTGACTTGGACATTCTCCTGGACTTAGTCCATCCAGAGATCACCAATTTTGCCTCTTGTATCAAATACAATACTTAAAATACAAATAAAATTTGAGTCGGTATATGGATCTTGCGGGTTTCTCAACCTAGGGTCATAGCCATGCTCATATGTATGTCCAGCTGCTCTAGTGGGCCAGGTCTGGCTGCCAGTGCCTAGTCATCCAGCCTGTGTAGCTCCCCATGCATACAAAAAATTTGGTAATGGGAGAACAATCGCACTGCTCCCTTGCTGCCAAATTTCCAGGACCATGGGGAGCCCTGTGGGTCAGATAATGTAGCTCTGCACACTAGATCAGGCATGCGGGTTGGTGTGGGGCCTGATTCCTGGTGGGCAGGGGTAGAATGTGGGCTCGATCCCAGTGCATGGGGTTGCCCCGCACCACTTGTCTGACCCGTGGGGCCAGAAGATTGGTCACTACTGTTTTCTTGTTTGCTTTGTATAGCTGTGTCAAATATAACAGTGGCTCAAAAACAAGCCTCGTTAGTTTCAATACTGAAGCTGTGGCTATAGCTCCATAATGAAAACCACTTTTGGAAATAACTGATCTTAACCGCATTATGATCCTAGATTCCTCTGAGGTTATTTGCTGTCCTTTTTGCTAACTGTATATCTGTGTATCTGTCTGCAATAGGGAAACTGATGTTCGAAAGAATAAAGCTGAACACATTTTTAAGATCTACAAACTCAAGAAAATGTCATTTGTAGTTTTATATGAACAATCTGGAAACGTATTTAAAAAAAAAAAAAGTCCTTGACTACTTTTGTTTTCTTTTGTAGACATATATTTCTCCTAGTGCTGCTATATTTAAATCTGAAGATGGTGGAGAAGCAGAGGCCATGTTAAACAACATGAGAGTTTATGGGACGTGCATTATTGCACTCATGGCGATAGTAGTCTTTGTCGGAGTCAAATATGTCAACAAACTTGCACTAGTCTTCCTTGCTTGTGTGATCCTTTCCATTATTGCCATTTATGCTGGTGTTATTAAGACTGCTTTTGACCCACCAGACTTTCGGTAAGTGAATTGTCAGGATGTGTTTTACTACTTTTGATATTAAACTTTGAGCCATGTTCTGGAATATGAGCCTGGTTGCTACAACCTTGGAACTTCTACAGATTGGTGTAGACTGATGGGTGCAGAGCAACCAAACATATATTTGCTCTCAGAAATTATTAACTTGTGCACTCAAATACCTTCTTGTTTGTATGGTATGTGATATTTTGGGAGGTATTTTTTTATGTGAGTTTTTAAGGTTCTGAACTCTGCTTTTTGTGGTCTTTGGTGTTTGTCTGTTTCATTTGGGTTTGTTTTTTACCTAGTAGATAAATATATATCTACTATTTAAACTGAAAGTATACTAAAAATAAAACCAAATTTAATTTGCTTTCCTGTTTCCTAAATTCTTTCCCCCTCCCTCTTTCTTCCTGCCCCCTTCTCACCCCCAAGAATTGAGAATATTTTGTTGTTTGTTTTGGGGAGTTTCTAGCAAACTTCTTTGCTACATGTTATGATGCAACACCATGTTTAAAGATTTTCTTCCTCATTTAAAACATACTTCCATACTTCAGGATTGAGAGGATAAATGCATCAAAATGCTGTGAGGCAATAGGGGCTAGATTCACACAAAGATTTAAGTACATTTAAAAAAAAGAGGCAACAAACCTCCCCTGCTTCCCCTTTATACTGTGGATACCAGAATGCAAAACTGGTTTCAAGCTCTTGCCCAATTTAACTGTTGGCATTGGCCCTAGACAACCCAGGGACTCAGGCTGCTCATGCCCAATCTTCATTCTCAACTGAGTATTAGGCATCCAGGATGGAGCCCTGTCTGTTCTTCAGGATTGGGCTGGGGAAACCCTGGATCCAGCCTTGGCAATTGTGAGATGTAGGATCTGAAGAATTTAATATACTAGGTCTGCGCAAAGCTTTGGGTGCTGATTCGATTTTTGGAGGAGATTCGGCCTGATTCGGCAGCCGAATCTCCGAATCTGAATTGAATCAGGAGACTGATAAAAAGGTCCGAATCAATTCAAAGCTCTCTAAATTGGTTCATAAAAGATTTGGAGAGCTTCGTAGGTTCAGGCAGTCCCTACTCATGGCTGCAGGGAGCTGGACCCAGACTCCATGCTGGTAACTAGAAAGTAGGGCAGGTGGGGGGGCTGAAGGAAGGAAGAGAGGACCATGGAGAAACCCATGCCAGACCCCAGCCCCATCAATAGCTGCCCCACCTGGCCACAATGTCCTATCTTTTTTTTTTTTTTAAG